TATTCACCTCACTTGTTGGTGTTTGTTTTGTATATGTGGATTAAACATTAATCCAGTGTTTTTGAGATACACGAATAAGTAGATCGAGTTTGTTCTTTAATCTCTATGATAGCCCTTTTGTCATTGTTTTATGTTTTTTATGGCTTAGAGCCCGTTTGGTAGCACCAAAATCGGCTGTTTTGGCTGATTCTGCTGAAATTTATGATATTCTGGCTGGAGTGGCTGTTTTGGCTGATTCTGCTGATTTAAGAAAAAAATATTTTAAAAATATATTTTATTAATAAATTAAAGAAAAAATTATATGTAAAAATAGCTAAAATGGTCCTCTACAGTAACTTCAGCCAATACAGCCAGAAAAGTAACTTCAACCTTACTTTTGCGGCTTATTACACAATTCAGCGCACGAAAGTAAAAGTTACGTGTTTGGTGAAAAAGCTGGCTGATAAGCCTGATAAGCCGAAAACAGAGTTCTCCAAACGGGCTCTTAGTGTTTAGTATACTTTGCTATTTGCACTTTTTGCTTTTTGAATTTCATGTTTGGAATTTTTCTATACTAATGCTCAATCAAGGTTCTATGTTTCAGTTATCAAAATACAAAAAAGAACAAAGTACTTATTTTCTCCTTACATATTGTTGCTATGGGAGCGGTTGAGCTGAAAAGTATTTTTACGGTGAAAACTGCGATATAATGTAGAAGTTATATATTTGACTTTATAACTCAAGTTTAATGAATTAATAGTTAATTAGAACAAATATATCTGGTAAATAAATAAATATGTTTTTGAAAAAAAAAGTGTAAATATCTTTCAACTGCTACTAGTGTTTTTCATTGTAGTCTCATACTTTCTCAATTTATCACTATAAAATTATACCTTTGATTTAGGGTTGTTTGAGTTATAAGTTATGGTTTGTGTTTTATAAATTACGTTATTGCGTCTATGAGTGAAACGTCACAATTTTCAGCCTAAGACATACTTCTCACGTAATCTTTTCCCTTGTTGCCATAGTACACAATGGATGTGTAATGTGCTCATGTAAACAATTTTTGTTGAATCTAATTTAATTTGAAAGAATAATAAGAGTCCTGATTCAAAAACTTAATTTTGTCGTATGCGATAACATGACGAGTTCTGTTTTAACAAGTGAAACTACTATTAATTGACTTTGAGGCAAAATGATACTTTGGTCTCTCATTTTGTTCTGCATTTTGATATGTAGTCAATGTCATCTAATAATGTTGTCGCTCAATTATGTAACATGTTAATTTGGTCTCTGCCATTGATAATTTAACAAACCCTGCTACATTATTAATGGTGGAGACTATATTAAAAACATTTTGCACAATTAAGGGATGACATTTGAAACATGTCGCAGAATTAAGGGACAGCATTTCCACACAATTATGGGGTGGCATTTGCACAATTTATGGCAGAATTTGCTACATTAGGGACGGCAGGCTACATTTCTCAGCATGAAAAAATGAGTGACCAAAAGTGGGATTTTCTCCAACTTTAGTATTGTTGTTTTGACTTTTGAAAAAAATTGTGAGTCTCCCTGACTTCAATTATTTGTTTTCCAGACAGATATTCAATACAAGCCAATGGCTAAACTTTGTTTAACAAACTAATAATTTTAAAAAAGTAAGTAGGGGGGATAGTTTACATGAGCTTTAGATAATTGTACCTTGATCAAACAAGACATCTTTTGTGACAGATGGAGTATCTAAATTGTGGCTACAAAGAAGCTGGCTAGTGGATGATTGCCACAATTACCCATACTCCTATTCTTTAGTTCAAACATAATTTCTTTACCAGTAGTTAACATAAGTGAAATCAACAGGTTTTTATTTGGGTAGCTATGAGACCTTATCTCATCCACATGCTAGAGCAGATAACCAGAAGAAGTGGTTATCTAAATCAACATCAATAGGAGAAGAAAACAAGATCAGCGTTGGACCTCGCAAAGACAATGGTGATGTGGCAAAGGATGAAAAGGACTCAGGTGTGGTGTATTATGGTCCAATATCAAGCACCATCAAGAAAGTGAAGCTTCTCTCTTTGTCAACTTGTTGCCTATCTGTATCCTTAGGCCCGGTGATAACCTTCATGACATCACCTGACATGAATGTGATTGTAAAGGGAGCAGTGGCGTCTTCTGTAATATTCTTAAGTGCCACCACCACAGGTGCCCTTCACTGGTTTGTTAGCCCTTATGTTCACAAACTCAGATGGCAGCCTGGATCAGACTGCTTTGAGGTGGAGATGATGTCATGGCTGACAACTTTTATCCCAAAGACTATTAAGTTTGCAGATATCAGGCTGCCGCAGACAAACAGACCATTTGTGACTTTCAAGGCAAATGGGGATTTCTATTTTGTTGATGCGGACCATTGTCATAATAAAGCATTGCTAGCAAAGTTGACCCCAAAGGAACCATCCCATGGATCAGCTTTGAAGAACCTGTGATGAGAATTGAGAACCAACTGACTCTTCTGGATCAGTTTTTGGTGCCCTTTTCCCTTTTTTCCTTTGTGCCCGTCCCTACTCATGGAACTGATTTGTCAAAGGAGAAGAGAACTAATGACTAATGAGTGTCTAATAGAAATATTGGAATAATATTTTACTCTATCCTTTTCTTTCGGCTCAAGAAATAATATTATTTCTTTGCAGTTTATGCTCCATTAGAACTAATGACAAATATTTACACCTATATTATATTGTATTTGGACGACGCCCTTTGTGTTTAGATTGTTGATATTTTGGGAATTGTGTGGTCTCCTCTGGTTTATCTTCTTGTATCCAGGGGTTCACTTCGGGTACATTGTATTGAACAAATACAGACAACCATTGTCTATAGAATTAGGTCGGGATAACTAATGACTATAACAAACATTTCCACAAGCACAACCAGTGCCCAACCAGTGTTTTACACACTTAAAAATGTTTCACACGAATAAGTATGATTGGAAGTACACAGACTAGCACCAAAAATGTTTCTAACTGCTATTATATGTAAATTTAAGTGTGACATTAAAGTATGGGGATAGCATTAAGAAATGGTTTAATTTCGAATAACAAATTCAGTTGTGCTTCACTTTGAAGATTTTACTACATGGAATGAAAGTTTATGGCTTGTTCTGATTGGAATGAGTCGGGTAAAAGTTTGGTACAACGTGTATTCTATTATCCATGACTTGTGTGATCTGATTTTAAACATGATTTGTATAAATTTGGATGATCCCGTTTAAAGTTGAAAAAATTAATTCAAGCTAAAACATTTTTATATCCTAACTTCTAATCACAAATTGCAATTGCGTATTATAAGTTTGTGAATAAAGTTATGGATTTGCTCCCTTCAAAAAGCAGATTGTGCCTGATAAATGCAACCAAAATTCTATGCTTAATAAATGCAACCTAAATTCTTGCACTTTAATACCACAGTTCTTCAAATCTGCCCCTCATTTAATCCGGACAGAATTAATAAACTCTTAAGTACACACTACACCTACCATAAGAATGGGACACCGCCGCTGGTGGCGCTGGATAAGTTTGATGTCCAATGTATAATTTTGGGAAAACTAGTAAACGTAATTGTGGTTTGGGGTGTTTTCACTTAGGGGCATGGGATTCATTTCTTAACAACCACAGGCTCGTGAATTTACTCCGTTATGTCACCCGGGACACCCACCCATACGACGTTAGTTAGTCCTAACGTGGCATCATTTATTTGGCCACCTCACATCATTAGTTGGAATTCCATCACTTACCTCCTTTAATCTAAAATTTGGGTTTACCAACGAATTGAATTACAGGGTTGCCGCCGATAAAGCGAAGTGGAAGTCGGAATAGAAGGACGACTTTGGTGGGGGAAGTGAGATTAGAAATCAGACCTCTTTCAGTTAGTAAGCGGCTTTTTAAGCAACATACGTTTTTACTTCACCTGTTTCTAACTTAAATGTGACTTTAACAGCGAAGTAAACACCTCCTTAGAAATCCAAATTATTCTCCTCAAATTTTTTAGGTAAAATTCCTGAAATACGAGTAAAAAAAGTTTGAAAATTCTAAAATAGGGCTGTCATATTTTTATTTCTAAAATAGGGGTAATTGTTACCAAATTTGGAAAATACTGCCACGTTTAAAGTCTAGTATTGTCAAAACATGATAGTAATTAGTCCTATGTTTTTTCTAACTTAGTAATTATTCCAGATTGAATTTCTCATTCAAGTGTTTTTTTTAACGGAAATTGTCCTAAATAGGACTAATGAGTTCCTTAAAAGCACAAATAGGACTACTACTTTTTAAATTCCCTAAATAGGACTAAACATTGATTTTCTACCCTAAATACCCCTAAGAGTATTAATTCCTAATGAAATGCTTTAATTCATAATAAAATCATAAAAAAACGTAAAAAATATTTAAAAAACGTAAAAAAATTATAAAAATTTATAAAAAATTTATAAAATAAAAAATTTAATTTTTTATTTTGTTAATTTTTTTTAAAAAATAATAAAAAATAGTAAAAACCCATAAAAAAATGAAAAAAATTATGAATACCTTTCCCACCGCCTCCTGCCGCCTCCCACCACCACCACCTCCGATTGGTGAAATTTCTTCCACTTTTGGTAAAAAATGCCATCTTTTTCTGAAAATGCCAAAAAGATGGCATAATTACTCTTCAATATGCCAACATTTTCATTGAATATGCCATCATTATGGCATAATTTAAAATGTTGGCATATTTTTCTCCGGTGATGGGAGCTAGTGGTGCTGGGGGTGGCAGGGGTGGTAATGTTTTTTTTTTTAATTTTACGATTTTTTTTATTTTTTTTAATTTTTTAAAAAAAAAATTATTTTTTTAAAAAAATATTTTTATTAATTTTCTATTATTTTTTTTATGATTTTTAGTATTTTTTTCGATTTTTATTATTATTTTTATGATTTTATTATTAATTAAAACATTTCACAAATTACAAGGGTATATTTGTCCAAACACACATAAATAGTCCTATTTAGGGAATTTAAAAAATGTAGTCCTATTTGTGCAATTTTGCCACTTTTTAGTCCTATTTAGGGAATTCACTCTTTTTTTAAATCAACCATTCAAGTATTCAACACCTAAAAGTGGGCGTTGAGCCATTGGCAAAAACCCCCTCTCGCTCTTGCATCTCTTCTAAGAAGGTCTCACTCATTCTGTAATCTGTACACCGATCATTATTAATTCGACGATGCTTTCTCTATCTAGAAACACTCTGATCATCCTTATTCAAGCTGATGTCGGAGACGCGGTGATTTGAGCGAATTTTTCAGTTCGATTTTTGGCTCCCGGTGGTCTGAGGCCTTTAGGTTGGTCGAGGAAATGTATAAGAACCAGCTGCAAGAGCTGGCGCAGAGGAGCTGCTTCAACTTGCCGTCGTATTCCTGTATCAGAGAAGGCCCTGACCACGCGCCGCGGTTCAAGGCCACCGTCAACTTCAATGGCGACACTTTCGAGAGCCCTAACTACTGCTCCACGCTTCGCCAGGCGGAGCACTCCGCTGCCGAGGTTGCGCTCCATGCTCTAGCCAACGGTGGTCCTTCGCAATCGCTTGCTGCGAAGATCCTGGTGAGTTAGGGTTTGTATCTTATTTCAGCTACAACAGCCTTCTGTTGCTCGTCTTATTAATTATTTGGCTTTTTGTAGTTTTTATTTCTTCATTGCATTTTTTATTCGACTTTTGGTCATAACTCATAAATGCTTTTCTTAGCATGTGACCTAGAAAGATGTGAGAGAAAATTTGAAAATGTTTACTCACCAGGTCCCCATTTGAATTTTGAAGCTGCAATTTTGGTTCACTCTATACCACCACTTGAGTGTGAGGGATCACAGAATATACATTTAAGCTAATGATATAGCTCTTGGTCATAGTATCTTAGATCTTTAAAGAAACGATGGTTCTAAACCATTTGAAGTCAATGGACTAGCAAATTATCCTCACTTCTATTTCTTGCAGCTGATTGATTTGATTGGGATTTAGGATTGAGTAATATTCTTAACGTGGATAGGATAAAGTGTGTTCCCCATTCCCCAAAGACTAGTTACATAATTTGGTCCAGAAGGACCCATGTTTAGTGGAACAACACTATCTAATTCAAAATACTTGGTGTGTTTCTTTGGTCTAATCTGTCAACATAATGATATAAAATCTTTCTTTTAGGATCCACTCTTGTAAATTGTTATGATTTATCCTGTGTGTGCGCTGCAACTCTGTAGTTAACAAAATTTGCAGGATGAAACAGGTGTATACAAAAATCTCTTGCAAGAAGTTTCTCAAAGGGTGGGAGCGCCATTGCCTGCATACACAACACACAGATCAGGTCTAAAAGGACATCTACCTCTCTTCACATGTACAGTGGTGTTGGCAGGGGTTACCTTTACAGGTGAACCAGCCAAAAATAAGAAACAGGCTGAAAAGAATGCAGCCATGTCAGCTTGGTCATCCCTAAAATTATGTAAGTGATATCCAAATCCATCTCTAGATATCTCACATTCCTGTTCCCCAATAAAACATAAATAATCAAATTGATACTACCTGTGTCCTCCTAAGTTTGGTACATAAGGAGGTGGTCCCATAATTAAGAAAAATGAGTTTGTATGATTGATATTGAACTCACAATGTAAGAGTGAAGTAAGAACCATATAGAACTACACAAACATTACCAAATTTGGTATAACACAATCTTATTGGATGATTGTCCATGAGCCCATGACAATCATGTCATCGCACTATTGGTCTCCATCTTTCAACTATTCCACTTTTGGTGCACCACAGTGTATTTTTTTGCTGCATTTGGCCTTTTCAGTTAAGTTTCTTATAAAAACAACCGAAAATTGGCAAAAGAAGTGATTGGAAGAATAAAAAGAGACAAAAATCTGTACTCATGCACCAAAAGTTACAACTTGAAAACTAGGAACCAATAATGAAATGAAAAGGACTTAATAGCAGTAGGACGAAAAATTAGTTTTTCATATGAATTTGGAAATAACTACTTCTAATATAACGAAATTAATTTTAAAATTTTAAAACTATTTTGTGGTGACTATTGTAATACGAAGTAATGAAGTATTTCCCAATCCTCGTAGTTTCTATCATTTTATTTATAATGCATGTTAAAGTAAATCATACATACAGTAATAATTTTTTAATATGATGATATGCTAGTACTTGAAAAATCTGTATGTACTAAGGTATGTACTGAGTATTTTTATTTAAGAGTTGTTAATAATTATCTATTCTTTTTATAAGGAGTAAATATTCGTTGGCCATTTTTTTAAATATATGAATGCATTAAATTTTAATGCACACCTTTTTTTGTTTTGTGGGCGGGTCCAGTGGAACAGCAGCAGTCAGAGAACTCAAATTTGAATTCACCTGATAAGGGGGGAATAAGGATAGAAGAACAAGAACATGTTACTGTAGCACGGGCTTTCCAAATATATCTGATTAGAGCTAGAGTAGCTGGATTGCCATTCCCAATCAGTTACCAGAGCACCTCAAATACCTCAAGGCCATCAACAAGTACACAACAACCTCTGCCTGCTACATCATCAAAGATACTACCCCTAATCCACCCAAGAACACATCTCGGTATAAAACCCCTGGTCCAAAGTAGACCACATTTGAATCCACCATCACCAATTATTATCCAACCAGTACAATCTTTTGCTGTGGGTGCCCCACCATACATCCCTGTCCGGCATTTGACACCACTGCATCATAGAATTGCGCCTCCTGTGACTGTACGGAGTGCGATCCCAGTTTTTTCTGCACCGCCACGCCGACCACCTTCTCAGCCACCATATATGTATGTTAGACAAGGTGTTGTGCCAGTGTACCCTTCTCTCCCAGAACTACAGCCCTTTGTAAAGGAGCCACATCCATCTAAAGCACCACTGGTTGGGGTTGAGGAAAAACCAGACACTAAGTTAAATCCCGAACCCCCAAAAAAATCTGCTCCGAGGATATCAACTGGAAAAATCTGCTCCGAGGATATCAACTGACTCTCAGCAACGATAGTCTTTGGAAATGAAGAATATGAAGAAACTTAGTACATATGATGCTTCATAACAGTCAGCCAGGGCCCAGGGGTTATCACATTCTCTAGCCTTTTGTAATGCATCCCCACATGCTCTACAGATAAATGATTTATTTAGGTGGTAATGTTTTATTGCTATCCATGTGTTCTTTTATACTCCAGCTGTTCCAAAAGGTTCTTTCCATTTTCTTTTTTGCTCATAATTTTTGTGTGTTCTCCTTTTAAAAAAATGAGATTGGTTGTTGATAACTTGATAACGGTGTGTTTGGATTGAGTGTTGGGAGGTGTTAGTAATGGAAGTGTTAAGGAGTGTTGAGCTAAACACTTGTTTGGGAGAAAAATTTAAAAAATTTAGAAGTGTTAATAAGTGTTTGAGGGTGTTAATGAAAACCTTCTAACACCTATATCCATCACTTTTTTAACACCCCAATTTGGGGTGTAATGAAGTGTTGAACAACCTTTGCCCTCTAATTCTTCTTCCACAGCCAATAGTCCAATACGGTTCTTCTTCCGCAGCCAATACCGTTCTTCTTCCTCAGCCAAAGACCGTTCCTCTTCTTCACCTCTTGTGCCTCTTCTTCGAACAGGAATGTTCTTCCAGGTTTGTCTTTTCTTTTTCCCAATCCTTCGCCTTTGTTCGTTTGAGTGGACCTTTATCAATTGCATACGAAAGAAAACTTTGACGGAGTATTATATTTGCTGATGCTACATAGAATATTTGGTAATGGAAAAGTTGTATATTGATTCTTCTCTAATACGTAGTATGATTGACTTGAATGCTACGGAGTATTATCATTGTTGATTAAACTCTGTACTATGTATATGACGGTTGTTATTATAATACACATTAAGTATGGGGATATTTTTGTCAATTTAAATGGAAACACCTCCATTACTAACACTTCATTTTTTAACTCTCCCAAGTCCCAAACAGGATAAGATTATGTGTAACACTTACCTTCCCTTCCGACTTCTGAGTCCCTACCAACACTTACTAACACTTCCATAAGTTTTCAGTACTAACACCTCCCGACACTCCATCCAAACAGACCGTAATGGCGTAATGGAGAATATTAAAATTTGATAGGTATTTCTCCCTCTTACAGCAGCTTGCAATGATCTAGCAAGTAGTCTATATAAGTAGTCTCTGAAAAGTGAAAAAAACAATTGAGAATGATGCACTTTTTTCTTCGGATTCTCAACAATCTGAAACGTCTACATTTTTTTCACGGAGCTAAAAGTCAGATTGATACTCGAAGTTGTATAAAAAGGGTCGAATAAGTCCTTATATAGGAGACTTTGTCCGGCCGTCGCCATTTAGGGCGGTTCCCGGTGGAATTTTTTGATGAAATTTTTTGAGCATTAAGTCTAGTTTACTCATATCAAATTTTAGTTAAAAATTCAATCAGGAAGGCATTCAAATGAATTCTTGAAGATAATTACACAGTTAAAAGCGCAATTATCTTCAAGAATTCATTCGAATGCCTTCCCGATTGAAGTTTTAGCTGAAATTTGGTATGAGTAAACTAGACTTATTAAATAAGATGCTCAAATAACTTTATCAAAAAATTCCACCGGGAACCGCCTCAAATGGCGACGACCGGACAGTAAGGACTTATTTGACCCTTTTTTATACAATTTCGAGTACCAATCTGACCCTTACCTCTGTTTTTCACAAAGCATCATTTGTTTTTGGTTGTATATACGATTGTATATATTACCCAATGCTGCAAGTGACGCAAATAAGCGAGGCCAGACAATAAATTTGCTAACAAAAAAGTAGAAAAATGCCTTCCAAATTACGATGAAAGTTACAAGGCCAGTGAAATACAAGAGATTCGGTGTTGAAGAAATAAATAGCCAAGAAAACACTAAATGTTTCGTTTGTATAGTAACGGAACATGAAGTTCACAACGGTCAATGGACAAGTTTCCACGCTTTCGCCATGATCTCATCATCTACATAAGGTCGCAGTGACCACATTAAACAGTAAGTGTCCAGCTCTCCGGTAGACGTCTTGAGGTTTAGAGATGAAATGATCTTTTCCTGGAAGAAGAATGTCACAATATGAATAATATAAAGGCCATTGTGGATAAAGTAGCAATCATTTTACCTGCATCACATAGTCTTTCTTAATCATACTGCATACTACAGCCATCATCATAGCAATGTCAACTACTTCAGACTTCAGAACACCGGAAGCCACCTCCTCCTGTACATCATCGTTTAACAAAGGGGATGGTAACATGACCCACGTGGTACAATAAAAGTTTCCAGTCAAACACTTAAACCTAAGAACCATCGATTTTGAAACTGGATCTGCATTGAAGTGAGCTAAAGTCGTTCTACTAAGGTGCTAATTTAGAACTGAGCTTCTTTGTAAAATAATAATAAGCATGATGATGATAATACTAATAATAATAGTCTGTATTAGTTATAATAATAGCTATGATGATGGGGTAGTAAACATAGATGAATGTATACTAAAATATGCAATGCACTCATGTTTTTTGTGCTATTAGTACGAGTATTATTCTTATCAAATTATTTGAATAACTATTTTAACTAGTTTGTAAATTCTCTATTTATGAATAGTAACTTGTAAGAATATTATTCGACAATTGTAAATATAATTTCATTTTATTTATTTGGGAACCTTTTAATTTAATAATCTTAATAGATTATCCATTATTACTTATCCAGTTAATAACGAAGTCATAATCTATAAAGAAGAAACCAATTAACCGGAAGCCGGTTTTAGAACCAGATATTTGGAGACGGGAACTGCCGGTTCCAATTTGGAATCGTGGACACGTCTACACCAAACCACATATTTCGAGACATAAAAGGAAAAGTACGGAATAAAATTAGATCAAGGCAAACAGGCTCACCTCCAAAAAATCTGCTTTAAAGTCCAAACTGCGGTTAATATCTCGATCAATTGTAGTGCAAGGCAGACTATAATTTGCACTTCGCACTACAGCTTCAGCATCATTCAGAAGGCAATCCAGTTCATCCATCAAGTATTTTGCTACAATAAACCATGCCACAATAACTTGTGGTTCATGCACTATAACCTAATAATTACTCCCTCCGTCCCCGAAAGAAGTTCCCGTTCGGTTTACGATGCTTGACTGACGATAAAGCAACTCGATTCCTGTTCATACTCAGATTATTTTTAGTAAATAAAATTTACATATTCAGAAACTAGATTGAAACCGCTACAAAGCCTGACCAAGAAAATTTAAATTTGATAAAAATTTGATATATAAAGTAAAAAATTAAGAGTGACTTAAGTTGACCAATGAATAGTGAATCGGAACTTCTTTCGGGGACGGAGGTAGTATCAAATTACTCCAATTACAACAACAACAACTAAGCTTTATTCCCAAAAGATTTTGGGGTCGGCTAACATGAATCGATACATGACATTGGAACCAAAAGTAAAAGAAAGATAATAAAAATAAAAAGGATAAGCTATGATAAAAAAGATAATATAAAAGGAGACAAAATATACGTAAAAAAGATAGAATAAAAAGGATAAAAATACTTCAACTAACTAGCAAAGATATAGTCAAGGTGATAATCACAAAAGGAGAAGCACCGGTTATTGTTTATACTTTGTGTTGACATGATACATATTAAAATAGAACATCCTATGAATGAAGATCACATATTCCTAAATATTTGATATAAGTCATATAACTAAGTAGGTGCTCATATTTACAATATCAATTTAAAGATGAATATGAGAAACACTAAATGTATTTATATAATACATAAGAGTATTAAAATAGAATAGTAGGCAGGGATCTGAACCTATGAATGAAAACCACATATTCCTACATACTACGTATTTGATAAAACTAAGTAGGTGCTCAGGTTACGAATATCATTTTAAAATGAATATGAGAACCACTAAACTGTTAAGAAACTGAAAATAGTTCTTAAAAATGTGTTAAAGTGAGTCCATTAGTGTAAGATTTGATGTTTTTGCAGGGTGCGTAGTACCTTGCATCTTATGATCCTGGAGTCCTTGGAGGCACACATGCACTTCTGCAACCACAAGACAGAAGGTCATGAAGATTGAATCTTATGATCAGTTTGGATGGAGTCTTTTGGAGGGTTTAGCATATATTTTCTTAATAGATATAAGAAAAAGAATAACATGTGATTGGAGAATTATACCATCACATATGACTCTAATCATTAATTCATATGAAATCCCGAATATACATCAAGATATAGAATAACTTCATTGTAGCGCATCCCTACAAAACCCTCCATCCAAACAGACCCTTACAGAAAACACCCCCTCTAGCAAAGGGAAAAGGTGTTGGCAAAATGTCAAGCAACACCAGTTAATGAGCTAATGTAAAACTCAAAATTGCTCCATGAAATCTGTTATGTATTACATATTACACATCTGGTCAAGCCAACAGATTGGACATTTGGACTTGTGCATGAAAAAAATTAGATAGAAAAACATGTAAGCATGGTTTAACAATTCTATCATGCATGCTTTGGAAGCTTATAAACATGTTTTCTTTTTGTGTCAAGGGAAATAAGAAATGTTAAAGTAACATGCACTCCTTGCATCCCAAAGATAATGTCTCAAACATGATTTTAGGAAAATATATTAACAAAAGCATCTTTATTTTGGTCCACACGTTTTGTTAGTGTTTATTTAGAAAAAACATCTTGAATTTGGTCTGATCAGTTTTAACACTTTTAGGAAATGGGACAGTAAAAATGGAACGTAGGACATCATCTTTGAGGCAAGGGGGTCATTGGAACCTAAACTTTTTCCATACAACTGATGGGGATTACATGTTATTTAAGCTGCAAAAAGCCATCATAAGATAGCAAGAGCCTCTGAGAACCTCACGTGTACTGTACTTGTAAGTTATAACTTTTAAGGTACACTAATAAAAGGGGAAAAAAGTATGTACTCTTCCTATCCACATATAATGGAGGATAAAAAGGCTATATATGCATGGTCTACATAAAATATATGAACACATGAATCATGAGAATTAGGTGGTGTTCTCTTAACTATCTGTTTTCCTCTTAAAAAAAATATGTTTTCCTTATTGCATATTCTTATTTAAATCAACCCAAACTACAAACATTCAGTCAGACCATACTGGAAAGATTCATATTGGACCAAACTAGATGCCAAATGAGATCCAAATGTTATATTTCAGAGAAGAAAATTC